CATCACGAGTTCGTCAGGGGCACGGCGCTTGCTGATTCGATGCCACATCAAGGCACTCAGGTTCGACAAGGCGTCAGTACGTAATCACCGCATTCCATTAATTATCTCTTCCAGCAAGTCTCACAGCCATGAATCACCCCGGTGGGCGTCTCTGCTCCCGAAACTCCAGCAACTCCCAGACGCATGAGTAGTTCCTTTACTGCTTTAATCCGAATAACAATTACTGACCCCAGACGTAGTGTGCGATATGTATAGCCCACGAATGCGGCAGCTGTATCTGGCCGCGTGTGCCTCTAACCCGCCAGACCCGAAAGAACTACTCGAGTACAGCGTACACAGAAGTACTGTGTGGGCTCAGACAATGCCACAGGCGAAGAAAATTCTTAGCGAGATGAAAATGAAGATGTACCAGCAACAAATGGCGACGAACAACAGTATGTTCTACACATGGTCGGGAAATCTAATGCAGAATACCCTCCCGCTGGAAACAACGTACACCACTTCGGCTATTGGATCTGGGCATTATAACCATATGCAAATCAAGGGTGCCGAGTACGGTCGACAGGCTTCTGCCATTGGAGCCGAGATACGCGGCGCACCGGCATATGTAGCTGATGAGCTAGAGAAGCGATGGAGGCTGGTAGAATGACGAGCCTCTATCATTATTGCCTTCGAGAACTATCTCTTCTCGTAGCCGTTGGAGGCGCGGTCCTCTTAAACCTCGTGCAAAGGCTCGACGCACCTTTTGCGGTGGCCGTACTCGATGCGACCTAGAAGGAATGTGCGGAGAGATAAGCAGAAGAGTTACAGACAAGGATACACATGTTCAAGCCTTTAATTAAATCTCCAACAAGACCATGCGGATATCAGGAGCATTCGTGTGATTCATATAGAATAAGGACAGCTTACTTTATTTTCTAAGCTCTATAGGCGTATGAAATGGGAATTGGAGTCATCGAGCACACACTCTCTCAGCTAATTCTCCTTCTTCTGCGCCGAATCTGCGCCAATCAGTCCCATCATTTCCGGCACGCGAAACTTACGCCAGCACGCAGTGTCAAGCACCCATTCACCCAGACTGTGTCCAAACCATGCCGAGCGGGCCATTCCACCGTACCAGAACCAGTCCGGCCGTCCAAATAGGCTGCGCAACCATACCGGGCTCTCGGGTCGAAGCGAGTCCTTCACCAACTTCTCGGCAAATGTTGTCGTGTCCATTGTGTTGCTATTCTGACTGAACACTAGCCTCCACTCGAATATGTGTTTCACTTTCTGGTAGAGACTATTCTCCGGCAGTTCGCGATGCCCTTGGCTGGCCGTATTGCTCTTCACGGTCCCGGTCATGGAGACCATGACACGGACGCCAAAGGGGGCAAGCTCTAGACGTAGCGTCCTTGAATAAGCATTCACGGCGGCCTTGCTGGCGCAGTACACAGAGCCGAACATGTAGGGGGAGATAGACGAGAGGGACGAGATGTTGATGATCAGTCCCTTGGCAGCAATGAGCTGGTCGATGAACGCCTGGACCATGGCCATGATGGAAAAGACATTCGTTTCGAAGGTGAGGCGGACATCGGGGATGGAGATGTCCAGCGCCGGGTGCGTGTGTGTTTTACCCCTGTCAAAGCTTCGTTGAGCGCTTGGGTCGGAGAAAATACGGCTCATCCAAATAAGGAATTAAGAAGACGGTGGCCCACGCACGCATTGTTCACAAGAATGTCTAGTCTGCCGCCATTGATCTTAGCGACTTCCTCGTGGCATTTCTTGATGCTCTCGGCGTCGGTCACATCCAGCGCCACGACGCTCATACCCAGGTCGGCCAGCCCAGCAAGAACTTCCGGCCGACGGGCTGCGGCAATGACATGCAATCCTGGCATCTGATCAATCACACTGTATCGAATTGTTTGCGTAGTCCCGAGGCGGGTGAAGTAAGTATGCATACCTTGTTTGTGATACTCGAGGCATAAGCCATGGCCAATACCTCCCGGTGTACAGCTGCGATTGGGGGGCAATATTAGCGGTTACACTCTGTTGCCCAGATGTGAAGGATGTATGAGCATGATGTAGCGAGAAGTTACAGTACCCAGTCACTAGCGCTATCTTCTGGCCTGGCTTGGGTCCCGCCATGCCGCACACTGTTGGGATTCGAGAGTTTTCGAAGATGGATAGTAAGATGCGAGACCACGTCGTCACGTCTGCTTGCTGAGTTGGACACTTCTACTGACGCACTCGTAGGCATCTGCTGCGTGGAAGGTACCTACCTAAACATGCCCCCTAACCGCCTAGCACCCCAGGGCACCTAGGGGCTCTGGCAGTGCTGGAGACATGGGCATTCAGGGGCCTTGCTAGGTGCTTACGTCCACTGCATCAGTCCAGACTCCAGACTAAAGGCATTTGGTTCTATTACAGAGGACCTATGTAGCGAAATAAGCCCTATTATCCCAAGTACAAATAACGAAGTAGGGCGAAAACCATATGTGCAATATCTCCATGTAATTAAGTACCTAAGGTATTGTAATGCTGCCTTTGTGAGCTAGAAGTGCTGGTTTGCTCTACTTGCACTTGCTGTTCAGAACTACTCGACTACCTCATCATGTAGCACAAAGACACGGCCGTAATAGGTCTGCCTCCCACTGGGTTGGGTTCATCGCTTTTATGTTCGCGGTTTGCTCTATGGCCTGGCTTTTCATCCCTAGTCATTGATGTCTCGCCCTTCAACATGGTTTGCTAGTGATCGTCCCCGGCCACTCTGATCCCTAGATTTGCGTACGCTCTTAGGTGTCAGGATGAGATTGTGTCAAGCAGTTCCAATGAACACCGCTGCATATTCTAGGTTCCAGAGCAATGGGGTATAAAGACACAGGACGACTCCTTCAAGCGGGACTCCCTCGCATATTTATCAAGGTTGTTCAACCACTTCTTGCCACGATGGGCAGAGAGAAAGGCTACCTAAAAACTTCCATGTGAGCACTCTTGGTGCGTGCGCATGTTGGCTTTGTGCCAGCATCCTACCTCATGACCAGGTAGTATCTGCACAACGGTTCAGTGACCGAGGAATATTAAAGAAAGCCTGCTGTAGATTGAACTCTCCATTGTTCATTGATAGACAGTCAGTAAATATCTTCTTCAGATTGACCACCACATTACAACGCACAGCCCACCCCGAATTTGTTTTCCAGGCCTCAAGGCAATCCACATATTGTTCCTTGTAATAAGCTGTTAGTTTGAGGGCTAAAGATGCCTAAACAGAAGCCGTATATTGAGAAAATGCCTTACATCCCCAAGTCCACACGGTACACTCATTACGGTCAAGGAGAACATAGTCACAACAATCTTGGGTATGACCCTTATTGTTACACTCGTGCTTATTACGATTTAAATAATTTCAACTACGTATGATTCATCCGTATCAACAGGTATTCCAGAGCAGTTTAGTTGACATGATTGATGTTTAAACAGGAATACCAAGATCCAAGCACATACTACGTGGATCATCAGCCAACGCCAGCGCCATCATCCAACAAGGATGCCGAATGGGCCGAACAAAGACAGAAGTTGATTGACCGATTCATTTGCCGTTCTGACAGTCTGGAACGAGGGCAATTTGCCGCCCCTACGTCGCAGCAAGCATACGACCCTCGGCCACCCTCTGTGGTGGGCATGGACACACTCACAGAGTGGATCAGAAGCCATATCGGAGACTACCATACGCTTGGTAAGACCACTGACATTGCCGCCAGGCTCTGCCATCATCTACCTGACTTTGTTAATTTCTCCAACGGACTCAAGTCACACAGACGTAAAAGAGGTCGGCGGGATTCTGAACGCCAGAATCTTTGTCAAGAAGCCGAGGACATACAATACAAGTATGGTCTCCTTATGATGGATTATTATGACGGCCAATTCAAGCCCATATATATGTGCTCTGAGAATGAAAAGTCCTACGCACAGGGACTCCTACAAATCATGTTTGACCAGAACTATGACCAATGGGAATCGTTCCTTTCAGACGTGGTTCCTTGGGTACATAAATTTCGAGAACATCACAAACTACGCCATATGGTGTAGTAGCAATGAGCATGAACAAGACAGAGGTCAGGCAGGTAAAGCGACAAAAATTAGGTACTTAGCGTTGCTTTTCACTACTTGTTTCTAAGCATAGCTTTCAATAATACTTATAATGAGCTCAATAAGATTGATGGACTCCGGTCAAGAGCACTTGGGTAGTGATTAGTTCGAGTGCATTTCCAAGTCTTGCCAACATCAACAGCCATGTGAGTTCTATAGATGGGATCCGATGAAGACAGGACTATAACTTTCAGAGGCCCAAGCAATAGTGCACTTCATTGTTCAAATTACTAATTGAGACATTCGGGCAGCTGAGAAGACGCCTTGTGCATGCATGCATAGTTGCACCGTAGTTATACCTATTAGTGAATGATTAGATTGTATTGTTGTGTAAAATGTGCAGACGTACAAGAACAATCTGTCTCGTAATCATTCCCCATATCCCTGAATTGAGTTGGAGTATAGCTATCAAGACAAAAGAAGACTGCTTGATGACGTTCACATATACCAAGTCCCAATGTTGCTATGTTACTGCCGCTATTACATCTTGCTCGTGTAATACAGCTCGACAGTGAAGTGTTGTTGCTTCCGTTGTTGCATGCACTACACAAAACATTATGAGCTTATTGTTTGCCATTCATAACAGTCTCTTGTAATAATGATTACACGAGCTGCAGTCACTTTTGGACACCATTTGTTCGGAGCAGATTGTCTCAAAGGGGCTTATTAAGCTATAGTGTAGGACCACCTAGCTAGCCTAAACTTAGTTGCCTTTCGATCTGCTAAACAGATATTTAGCACCCACCTAGTTTGAGAGGCCCATATTAGATAGTACTTGCTTACTTACATTGGTTGCTGCCCGTTGCTCTCGATATTATACACTCTTGCACAGAGTGGAACATCGATCGGACAAACAAAGATCCGATGTCAAAGGTCAGATGGCCGAGTGGTTATGGCGCTGCGTTCAGGTTATCTGAACAATAATTTCGCAGTGGAGCAATCCGCGTGGGTTCGAGTCCCACTCTGATCAATCATCATATTCTTTTGCCTCTATATCAATTTGTTTTTGATGTTATCCTAGTATAGTAAGAGATATATGTTGGTTGATCGAGTTGTTGTTGTTGTTGCTTGCTTGCCATCAGGGTCACCCAATAGGTAGGTAGGTAGGTGGGTGTGATGATATGCGGGTTTGTGTGCAGGTATTAAGATAGGTATGTAGTAGGTAGATATATTAAGTGTGTAATTATGACGTTTAATTCCCTGAATCATTCCCATAAGAACTTTTTAGGTTGGGTAGGACTGGGTACTCCTTTTCCTGTTGTAAAAGCTGCCGCGGCGGGTATGAAGCTGCATGTCTTCTAGGAGCACTCTGCAGGCAATGTCGGGATCTCAAAAAGTCTAATAGTGAGTACCTGATCATTCATTACATGCCTGTTATGTAATATGATGCATACAACTCTTTTAAAGGAGATCATCTTTCTCGGTCGTCAAGCTCGTTCATTCATTCGTTTCGCGTACAAGTTCGTTACCAGCTACTGCAGCTTATTCACGCCTCCTGCCTGCTCTTCCAATTCAACCCTCCCTTGAACATGGCAGCGATAGTCTCCTCGATCGGAACCGGTTTCAGCCCAACGCGACCCAGCAATTTCTCCAACATCTCATCGTCAACCAGACACTCTCCGTCCTCGAGCGCCTCGTACGTGCTAGCCCACCACTCCACAGCCGCCGGTGGCTTCCCTCTCTCCTCCACATAATACCTCTCGTGCTCCTTGCGCCCGACCGTCTTGACCTGTATGTCGCGCCACCGAGCCTTTCCCACAATGCGCGCGATATCCCCGACCGTCCTCGCTATCGCAGGGCGAGTGGACAGGTAGAACAGCTTGCCCGCGAACTCCGCCTCGTCGCCAGACAGGACGATAGCGCTGGCCACGCCCAGATCGTGGATCGCGGTCCAGGATATCCTCCCGTCGCCAGCCAGAGGCACGACATCCCACTCCTCCAGCGCGTTGGCGACGTCGAAGTACCCAAGGTACAGCGGCCAGGACTCGCTATACAGGCCCTCGCGTAATATCGTGACCTTGGTCCTGTGCGTCTCGGTCACGGAGCGCAGGTACGCCTCGGTGCGCAGATGCGCGCGCATCACGGCGGCGCGGCTGGCATTTGTCGCGCCGGCGGAGGCCGAGTATCCGAACGCTAGACTCGAGTACGTGATCCATTTCACGCCTGCCTTCACAGCCGCATCGATGGCGTTCTTATGGTGGCTTTCTCGTCCTCGCTTCTTCTCGCTCTCCGCCGTGCCGTCGTAGTCCATGGCGACCCCGAAATCGAGCGCGATGTCAGGCGTCGACACGAGGAACAATCTGTCGACGCCTTCGAGAGCCCGCTCGAATGTCGCAGGGTCTTCGAAGCGCGCATGGCGGACCTGCACGCCGGTGGCGGCTAGCGTAGCCCATGTGTGCGAGTCTGGTGTTGTTGACGATGTCAGGGCTATGACGTCGGATGGCGGTGTGAGCTTGTGCGCCAGGAGCGCCGAGAGCGTGGCTCCACCTAGTTTTCCTGATGCGCCGACGATGGCTATTGTAGGCATGTTTTTTTGGTAGCTTCAATTCGCGAATCAACGTCTTCGAGTATTGTACCCCTCGGTTTATTCCAAAGGGAAAGAAAGTGGTTGGGTATGTATTTATTGAAATAGTCGGTGACTTGAGGCGGTAGCTCTATGGGTTGTTGCACACGCAGATCAAACCTGTTATATGATGCAATTGACCTCTTTTAAGACTGACCGTGACCGGGGAGCCGGCACACCCACGGCTGCGCATTGATATAAATGTCCTCTTATCATCATTCATGCTTCATGCTTGATAATACGGCGAAATTAACAATCAACCGCATAACGATAATAGTCATCACAAATACCCAATGGCTTCACAGTAATGCTCAAAATACTCTCGTAGAAGCGAAGCTTCGTGAGGTTAATTAGTCATGTCGCCCAAGAAATGCTAGATATTGTCACCAAATGCCGTTTTAGGAAACAAACAGCGAAAACAAGCGGCATCTAGTGGCCAATATTAGCGTCATCTCCGATCAACACTATTGGCAGCAACAAGATACTGCTTCACGATGCCACGGCGTAGTTTCGGTGATATCTTATCGCCGATACTTACGAGCAAGAGCCAACGAAAGGTTTCGACAACTACCTAGTACAGCACAATTGAAATTATTTTTATGACAAAGCCTAAGCATTGATGGATTTCATATTACATGAGACAATATGTAAGTATGCATGTGATAATCACAATAAAGTTCCAATCTCAAAAGACAGGTATGCATAGGTAGCTAGGTACACTGTCCCTATATGGCGACAAAGAAGCTCTTCTCGCCGTCCTTGGGAAGAACGCGCGCCCGCTCCATGATGGGATCAACACACGATAGACGGATCCTCTCAGGTGTCGCGGGACTTTCAAGTTTCAACAGGCCATCGTCGTCTCCACCTTCAGTTCCAATGTGAGCTTTGACGCCGTAATCTGCGCGTGCGTCCTTGAGGGCGTCTCGAATCGCGAAGAATACGGCGCTGCCCATGAACAGAGGAGGTTCGCCGACTCCACGACTGCGCTGGATCGTGCGGAGATTCTCCCACGTCACGCCTTTAAGGAGACTTACGTTGAAGACCTGCGGTATGTCGCGAAAGCCAGGAATCTTGTATGCGCCTGGACCCTTGGTGAACAGGTTCCCTGCCAAGGGACCGTTCCGGAGCCACAGGCTCTCTTCCATCGTGAACAGGCCCATGCCTTGAACAAAAGCACCCTCGATCTGGCCATAGTCAATCGATGGATTGATCGAACGACCGACATCCATTTTGATGTCGGCTCTTAAGCACGTCCATGTTCCGGTCAGGCAGTCTACCTCGACTTCTGCAGCCGTTACACCTTGTGTGAAGTAAAAGTACATCTGGCCTGTATTCTCACCCCAGGTGTACCCGATCTCTGGAGTCTTATAGAAGCCATTGGCACTCAGGTTCACACGATCAAAATAAGCGGCATGCGCAAGCCCCTTCATTGTCGCTTTCGGCCCGAGCTTTTCTCTATAGGGAGCCAGTCGAGCATTGAGCTGCTCGCACGCATTCCATACCGCATAACCGTTGAGGTCGGACGAAGCGGAGGCGGCTGTAGCTGATGTGTTTGCGACAGTGTTTGTGGCAGTCTCCGAGATAAACACGTCTTCCATAGGGACCTGCAAAGCCTCAGCAGCAAGTGTGATCATCTTGGTGTGCAGTCCCTGGCCCATTTCAGTCCCGCCGTGGGCAACAAGAATTGACCCATCGTGATAGATGTGAACAAGCGCACCGGCTTGATTGAACCAGAGCGCTGTGAAGGAAATGCCGAACTTTGTTGGGATAAGAGCAAGTCCTCGCTTACGCCATCTGTGGCTGGCATTAAATTCTTCAACAGACTTTCGACGATTAGCATAGTCCGATTCTTCTTTGACTTGTTTATACATGAGCGGCACATGCCAGTCTTGTATAGTTTGGTTGAAGTGTGTGGTGTCGTTGTGCTCATAAAAGTTGATTTCGCGAAGGTCTTCCACTGCCATACCCAGCCTATCGGCCACTTCAGACATCATGGACTCGGCGATGAACATCCCTTGAGGCCCCCCAAAACCACGGAAAGCGGTGTTGGACATCGTGTTGGTTTTGCACAGGCGACCACGGATATGGACATTGGGGCATTTGTAGCACCCATCAATATGGGTCATGGCCCGCTCGCATACGGCTGCACTGAGATCGAACGACCAGCCCGCATTGTTGAAGACATCAACATCGAGTGCTTGAAGTTTTCCGTTCTTATCGACACCAACCTTCCATTTCGCTAGGAAAGGATGACGTTGTCCAGACATGACCATGTCCTCATCACGGCTGAGCATACACCTAACCGGGCGCTTAGATTTCTGCGCAGCTAAGGCCATCATAGTGCTGAGCTGGACGCATCTTGTTTCTTTGCCGCCAAAGCCTCCACCTAGCCGTTTCACTCGAGCGACCACTTTGTTGGCCTGTACACCAGTAATCTTGGCGGCATATACCTGGCTGAAATTTTGTTGGGCATTAGGGACTTAACACGTTCAGGCTAGGGAAACATACCTTTCAGTCGGATTCTGACTACTGGTCCAAATCTCCATCTCACCATCTTCAGGTTTGGGTATTACTACACATGCATTGGTCTCCAGGTAGAAGTGTTCCTGGCCACCCATGCGTGTTATACCGGTGAAGACATGGTCGCATTTTTCAAACGCCCCTTCCACGTCGCCCTTCTTGATGTAATTGTAATACTTATGGAAGCTCTCTTTCTCAATGGCCTCTTCCATTGTGAAGATGGCAGGAAGGTCCTCATAGTCGATCTTTACCGCGCGCACAGCATCGTTCGCCCTAGCCTTCGAGGTTGCCAGGACTACGGCGATGGGCTGACCCGCGGTGAACACCTCGTCCTCGGCGAAGAAATAATCATCGAAACGAGGTGCTCCCCATCTGTTGTCCTCGGGTTTATGTACATCGTTTTTGTCGACAACATCGACGACACCGGGTATATCCAGAGCGGCGGAATAATCGATTGACTTGATTTTTGCATGGGCGCGAGAAGAGAAAACGATAGACGCATGAAGCTCGTTCTTCAGTGGGGGTATGTCGTCGGTATATTGGGCCTCGCCCGTCACCTGTTTCAAAGCGGCAACATGATTGTTGGCTTTACCAAGGGACTCCTTCGTGTACTTAGTAGTTGCCGCAGAGTCTTTCCATCCTGTTGATAATGCGCGCTCTAACTCCTCGACAGCCTGACTATCCCCATGCTTACTTTCCGCGCTGATCTCAGACAATACATCATGGTAGAAGCGGTAAAAGAAGCCCAAAGCCAATGACTTGCGGTAAGAGGCCATACCTCCTGGAACACTGAACACGAGGTCGAAGTCGGATTCAAGCGCGTTCATCGTCCCCTCGAGTGTTTCTGGATGCGCAAACATCTTTCCCTTCAGGTACTCATTTGCCTT